ATGAAATGCTTCACAGAACTAGAATAAACTATTATAAAATTCATATAATCAAAACAGAGCCTGAATAGGCAAGGCAATTCTAAGCAAAAAGAACAAAACCGGGGGCATAACATTACCCAACTTCAAACTATACTGCAGGGCTACAGTAACCAAAACAGCATGGTACTAGCATAAAAGGAAGACACATAGACCAATGGAATGGAATAGAAAGCCCAGAAATAATGCTGCATACCTACAGCAATCTGATCTTCAACAAAGTTGCCAAAAGCGAGCAATGAGGAAAGGACTCCCCGTTCAATAAACGGTGCTGGGCTAACTGGATAGCCATATGCAGAATATTGAAACTGGGCCCATACCTTAAACCACATATAAAATTAACCGAAGATGGAATAAAGACTTAAATATGAAACCCAAAACTAAAAATTAAAAAAAAAAGAAAAAAAGAAAAAAAAGAAAAGAAAGAAAGAAACAGAACCTGTAAGGCATTTCTTCAGTGCCCTATGTAGGCAATACCATTATGGACATAGGACCTGGCAAAGTTTTTGTGATTATGTAATTGCAATAAAAAACAAAACTGAGAAATGAGATCTACTTAGACTAGAGAGATTCTGTACAGCGAAAGAAACTATGATCAGAGTAAACAGACAACCTATAGAATGGAAGACAACATTTGCAGAATGTGCATCCAACAAAGATCTAATATTGAAAATCTATAAGGAACATAAAATTCTCAAGCAAAAGAATAAAAAGCAATCACATTAAAAAGTGGGCAAAGGACATGAACTGACATGTTTCAAATGAAGACATCATGTGGCCAACAAGCATATGAAAAAATGGACCAAAAAGGACCTGAATAGGCAAGGCAATAATAACCACTAGTCATCAAGGAAATGCAAATCAAAACTACAGTGAGATACCATCTCACCTCAGTCAGAATTATTATTACTAAATAATCAAAAAATAACAGATGCTGGTGAGGTTGCAGAGAAAGGGGAACACTTATATGCTGCTGGTGGGAGTATAAATTAGTTCACTCATTGTGGAAAGCAGTATGGCAATACCTCTAAGAGCTAAAGATGGAACTACCATTCAGCCCAGCAATATAATTACTAGGTATATACCGGACGAATATAAATGATTCTACCATAAAGACACATGTATGTGAATTTTCAGTGAAGCATTATTCACAATATCAAGACACGGAATTCACCTAAATACCATCAATGACAGATTATATAAAGAAAATATGGTACATATACACCATGGAACATTATACAGTCATAAAAATGAATGAGATTGTGTCCTTTGCAGCAACATGTATGGAGCTGGTGGCCATTATCCTAAGCAAATTAATGCAGGGACAGAAAACTAAATACCATATATTCTCACTTATAAGTGGGAGCAAAACAATGAATACACATGGACACAAATGAGGGAACAACAGACACAGGGGCCTACTTGAGAGTGGAGGGTGGGAGGAGGGAAATAACATAAAAAACGTATTTATCAGGTATTATGCATATTATTTGGATGATGAAATAATCTGTACACCAAACCCCTATGATAGTTTACCTATATAATAAACCCGTACATTTACTCCTGAACTTAAAAGTAGAAAAACAAAGAGTGTGATTTACATCACTGCGATCATACTTAGATATAAGAATAGTTCAAATAGAAGGAAGATACACCAACTGGATTAGGAATTGCTGGCTGGTAGATATGAAGACCTCTTATCTTATTATAACATTCACTGGAACCAGGGTATTTCTTCAGTGCCCTACAAAGGCACCGGTGTTTGGTGGAAGTTTTGGACAGTGATAAAGCCATTGATATGTCACTGACTATCTTTATGCTCTGAACACCACCCCACCTTTTCTTTTTGTAGAAATAATTGAAATAAAATCAAATGTTTACTTAGATTTTACTTCAGTCCAGATGCTTTTTAAAGCATACTGTATACATTTTCTTACAGAATGTTTAGAAGAGTAAATCTTTGAGATGTGCCTTTATTTATCTACATTTCAGAGATAAGAAAACTGACATAACTAGGTTAAGTAACTATATTACCATTATGATTGTTGTCATATTATAATATGGATTCTCAGTGAGTTGTATTTCACCTTAGACATTTTCAAGCCTTTGTGGGGCACCACTTCTAGCCATTCTGTATGAGGTAAACAAAAGAAAGAAAAGAGGGAAGGAGCAAGGGAAAGACAGATGGAGGTGGGGGGTTGTTGAGGGTTTGCTTCCATGTACTCCAGGCTTCTCAGGGCAGCTTCCAATAATGAATATAACTTAGCTGCTTGTGACTTAATCAAGCGGGAGGAAAGAGTTAAAATAGGCAACAAGGGAGAGAAGCAAAGAGAAATGATTCTTCCAACCTTGCAGACTCAAAAACATTGCAAAATAATATACTGCATGACCAAGTTGCCATAGCTTTGTGCATTTCCAGGTCCATAATAATGGCCACTAGCATTTCTCTAATGAGCAGTGATGATGAGCATTTTTTCGTAAGTTTGTTGACTGCATAAATGTCTTCTTTTGAAAAGTGTCTGTTCATATCCTTCACCTACTTTTTGATGGGGTGGTTTGTTTTTTCTTAATTTGTTTTAGTTCTTTGTAGACTCTGGATATTGGCCCTTTGTCAGACAGGTAGATTGCAATTTTTTTTCCCATTCTGTTGTTTGCTGGTTCGCTCTAATGATTGTTTATTTTGCTGTGCAGAAGCTCTTAAGTTTGATTAGATCCCATTTGTCTATTTTGGCTTTTGTTGTCATTGCTTTTGGTGTTTTAGTCATGAAGTCTTTGCCTTTGCCTATGTCCTGAATAGTATTGCCTAGGTTTTCTTCTAGGGTTTTTATGGTGTTAGGTCTTACATTTATATCTTTAATCCATCTGGAGTTAATCTTTGTATAAGGTGTAAGGAAGGGGTCCAGTTTCAGCTTTCTGCATATGCCTAACCAGTTTTCCCAACACCATTTATTAAATAGAGAATTCTTTCTCCATTGCTTATATTTGTCAGGTTTGTCAAAGATCAGATGGTTGTATATGTGTGGCATTGCTTCCAAGGCCTCTGTTCTGTTCCATTGGTCTATATCTCTGTTTCGGTACCAGTACCATGCTGTTTTGATTAGATCATTTAAAAATCTGGAGACAACAGGTGATGGAGACAATGTGGAGAAATAGGAACACTTTTACACTGTTGGTGGGAATGTAAATTAGTTCAACGATTGTGGAAGACAGTGTGGCGATTCCTCAAGGATCTAGAAATAGAAATACCATTTGACCCAGCAATCACATTACTGGGTTATACCCAAAGGATTAGAAATCATTCTATTATAAAGACAGATGCACATGTATGTTCATTGCGGCACTGTTTACAATAGCAAAGACTTGTAACCAACCCAAATGGCCATCAACGATAGACTGGATAAAGAAAATGTGGCACATATACACCGCAGAATACTATGCAGCCATAAAAAGAATGAGCTCATGTCCTTTGCAGGGACATGGATGAAGCTGGAAACCATCATCCTCAGCAAACTGACAGAAGAACAGAAAACCAAACACCACACGTTTTTACTTATAAGTGGGCATTGAACAATGAGAACACATGAACACAGGGAGGGGGACATCACACACTGGGGCTTGTTGGGGGGTGAGGGAGCTAGGGGAGGGATAGTAGGGGGTGGGGGCATTGGGGAGGAATAACATTAAGAGAAATACCTAATGTAGGTGACTGAAGGATGTCTGCATGTGTATACCTATGTAAAAATCCTGCACGACCTGCACATGTACCCCAGAACTTAAAATATAATAAAAAAAGAATGAGTTCATTAAAAAAAATGGCCACTAGCATATCCTCGTGGTCTTGTCACTTATCCCACTTAGAATTCAAGAACCTAGTGATATACATCATATAGAGAGACCCCACAATCATAGATAGACAGTGGTTCAATTCAGAGGAGATTTTCTTGACATGAACAATTGAAGATCATAGCTATTTGATTACTTGCCTTCAGGTAATGTCAGTAAGTCTAGCAATACAGTCCCTCCAAGAGTAGCATTCCAGTCTCTAGTTGGCACTGTTATTAGAGTCAAATGCAATTCATCCCTTTCCTATCTACCCATTTCCCAAACTCAGTTTTCAGATACACAATTTTAAATTGGATTCAAAAGTCAGTTATTGAGCCCTTACTGCATGCATAGTACTCTGGTAAGTGCTAACTTCAGTGATTTAACTCAGTAACATGGGCATGTTGGAATCTACTGTTCTAGTTTTTGGTCCCCAGCCAAAGCTGAGCAGAAAAGTTGAAAAAAAGAACTGCTATTCAAGTTGAGTCATATTGGTAAGTTTCCAAGGCCTTTGGATCTAAGCTTTTGTTATTCTGTGTTTCGTTTGCTCAAGTTGATTGTGACTGCTGAAAGCAAGTTGCTCCAGTCCAAACAACATTTTGGGGCATTAAAGGTGTTATTTTCACTGCTTATTATCAACTTCCAGTAGGATCCTGTAGACAAATGCTGCAGTGATCTCATTAGTTGGTATCTTCTTTGTGCACAGTCCCAGAGTGTTCTGTACTTTCATTATGAGATGTTCACATGGAGCATTGCACAGTCCAACATATGCCAGGACTTGGAGAAGAGAAATGAGTTAAAGGCCTTTTTGAAGTTCCTTCTTTGAGTGGCCTGAAAATCTTGATCAGTTAGCATTTGAATGTTGGTATTAAAAAGTCTAAATCTAATTTGTGGGTATTGTTTGTGACTTTGACTTCTCCTGGAGTGGAAGTAGAGGCAAGGCTGTGGTATAACAACAACACAAATACCAAACTAAAACAAAATAAATGAAAACAATTTATTTAAATATAGTATTATTTAAAAATAAGAAGTTATTGGATTTTCAAAGTTATGCCAGCAGTTTTATCTACCAATTACCTAAACATTTGTCTTCAACAAAACCATAAAACACACACACACACACACACACATGCATGCACTGTATTTCAAATGTGACATGCATGTATAGTTTTGGGATGGTTATTTCCACTCTGTTGAGAAGTGATATACTGAGCATAATGAAAACTGTCAGTGTATTGCTTCTGCTTTATTCAAGGTGAAAATATCACTGTAATCACTTTCATGAAAATATGATCATTTCTGTTTTCCTGTTCATTTAATACGACTGGGAAATATCATTTGCACTAAATTTTTCATAATGAACATGGAAACATTATAGAAAACTAAGTATTATGACTCAAGTTTCTGGTAAGCCATAATTTCTTCGGAACTACCTAATATGTAAATATTAATGACAAAGAATTTTGGGGTTAGCGTTGTTAATAAAAGAGTATTTGTCATTTTTCTAATGAGGATTTACTAAATATAATTAACAAAGAAGAGACAATGACATTTTCTATAGATGGCAGCTCTAACAAATACATTTGTAAATATCATCTTGGCCATCATCAGGTACATTTTAATAGCAAAGCTAATAGCTGTCAATCATGGTAAATGGGTAATTAGAAATTCTACTCTTACTGAATACAGTTTATTGTCATGTCAGATATTTTTTGGTTGACAATTTTAGGGATGCATCTCAGCTAGGCCCAAACTAGTCACATGCCAACTATACAGGGCTCAGGTATGAGAGTGTCGGTAGCCGCCATTTAAGAACAGAAATTAAAGGCAATTATGCCCTGTGACAAAACATGATGAATTCAATTTGTCTCTCACAGACATTGACCATTATTTACAGAAATAAGATAAAATATAGCAACTTGGTATCAGAAGTTGAAGTTAGGAACAAATGGGAATACAGCAACGGGGATATTTGGGGAAAAAAAAAAAAAAAATATATATATATATATATATATATATATATATATATATATATATGTTTCCTGGGCTATACATTAGAATCATTGGACTTCACACCAAGCCATTTAATCTGAATTTTGGCAGAAGAGGTTAGGGCCAGGCATTAGTATTTTTTTAACCTCTTCTATGTGTATTTTAAAGGTGAACCAGTGTTGAGAAACTCCATCATAGAGCTGTGCATATCAAACTTTAATGTGCGTATGAATCACCTGGAAATCTTGTTAAAATGCAAATTCTGAATCAGTAAGCCTGAGTTAGGTCCAGAGATTCTGTAATTTCTAACAAAGGCTCGGGTGATGATGATGATGTTAGTCCATAGGCCACATTTTGAGTTTCAAAACTTAGAGAATATTATCCACCAATGGTTGTGTAAGTGAAGTAGCAAGTGAAGAAGGGTTAGTTCATGTTTGTAAGTGAAAGAGGAAGGATGTTGAAAGAATGCAAGGATGCTCTTTTGGGTTAATCTTGATGTGACTTGAAGATAGGTGAAGGCCTTTATGACTTTGTTATAATTCTAGTTTTAGCTCAAAATGCTACTGCATGAAAAGGTGATATTAAATTCTAGAGCAGTTGTTTCAGACTGCTGTTTATTAGAAAGTCCTCTTTAGTTGGAGCTCTGCAGGATTCCTTCCTGAAAAAAAAAATTTTCAGCACTTTATTATCCCCTTAATAGCAAACAATCACCACTAGAACACGTGAACAGGTTTTCTTAATGGCCAGAAACGCAGCAATTTTAGTCACTGATGACTAATTTATTAATGGTTTCTTAAACTTGTTATAAAACTGAAAGAAAAAATACATGCACTGTGGAAAGAAAAATAAAACTAATTTTTTAACAAGGTATCCAAATTTAATGCAAAACACACCTCTAAAACTTGACAGTCCCTGGAGTTCCCCCCTTGCACGGTGACTTTAGGTAAATTTCTTATACTACTCTCTGAGAATAACAAAAAGGAGAGAAAAGATATTTGTGGTGTTAGGTCATGAAGATGCAAAATTATTAATATTTTATAGAAACTCTTTGTAACCTTTGTCTCTGGGGACAGAACTAAAATGTGCATTATTGGCTAGGCATGTTCAATACCATCTCTACTGTATATATTTATATTTTGGGAAAAATTATTTGGCCATCAGTCAGTGTTTTTTGAGCTATGTGCCTATGTGGCTTAGAAATATAGTCCACTGCTTAAACAAAGTGCCATGGTTTCATGTATACCATATGGCTGATACCTAAACATGTTCTGAGATTCTACTTGCTGTTTCAGGAGCTGTCAATGTGCATTAGATCAGTCTGACCAAAGAAAAGAAGAAAGGTCTCTGAGAGTAAAATTTGCTTATTCACTATTTCACCTGACCACCTTTTTTCCAGCACGTAAACAGTCGGCAGTTACTGTTATGATCTATTATGTTATATTATTTGTAGCCCTCCCGTGAATATATATTATATGTAAATGAGACAATGTTTGTGAATTGCCTAGATCAGTGCTGGGCACACAGTAGTTCAAAAATGTTAGACTCTATTCTTTCCCCGTTAAGATCAAAGCCTAGTTTCCATTAGTGTGATTTTTGGAAAATTACTTATTTTAGCTGAAGTTTCTTAACTGTAAAATAAGCATATACATATTATACTTTGTAGATTTTAAAATAAAATGTAAAGAACAATTTAGGCTTTTTTGCACGGTTTAGTACCTAAATCATAGCAGAAATTTAATAAATTGTGACAATCAATATCATAATTTCAAATTAGTGAAACTAGA